ACTGTCCATATTAATCACTCACCAATTTAATTAAGGTAAACCATCTTGTCAGAAAGCTTGCCTCTTCCCTATTTCTTAACATTATCGACTTTTTATAGTTCACCGAATTAGTAATTACTTGTTTATGGCATTATCAAATATCTAAGTCCAGCATGTGGCAAGGTCAGTTATAGACATGCCCTGATGGCATGTGAAAGGAGAAATTTAACCCATCAAAGTGGTCATCGAAAGAGCAAAACCTATTATCCCTTTCTCTAGACACTCCTGGTTAAATTCAAAGTGACAGGACAAACCAGATCAAAACTAAACAGAGCTAGAAGCAACATACAAAATCCTAATGAACCCTTAGAACCCAGGTATCGATTTGTCAATATCTAAGCTCAATTAGTCCTTTCAGAACAAAGTACCTCATGAAGTGACAAGAAACTAGTTTGAGGTCTGGGATATGAAAAGAATAAAAGCAGTCACTTTATATTGCTCATTGCTAAGTGCAGTCATATCTCAACCTGGAGATCTTGTGGGGATTAAATAAAGATGTATGTCAAATACCGATCTACTAAGCCAAGGAGCTGACACATAACTAGTATTCAGTAAATGTTAGTCCTTCCTCAAATCTTTAAGAATACAGGCTTATCGGGGCGCCTGGGTGGCTCAGTCATTAAGCGTCTGCCTTCGGCTCAGGTCATGATCCCAGAGTCCTCGGATCGAGCCCCGCATCGGGCTCCCTGCTCCGCGGGAAGCCTGCTTCTCCCTCTCCCACTCCCACTGCTTGTGTTCCCTCTCTCGCTGTGTCTCTCTCTGTCAAATAAATAAATAAAATCTTTAAAAAAAAAAAAAAGAATACAGGCTTATCAAGTCAAACATCAACTGATGGTTTAAAAAAGCAAGTCAAAACAAAAGAAAAACCTTACATGGTGATACAGATAACACATCTCATAGAACTCAGCAAACAGGATAATGAAAAGGAAAAACAGATACTGAAAACATTTCTCAATGGCTCATCCTTTGTGGTCATTTACAACCTTCCTGTTTTGTGAAATTGTCTTTAGGGATGAGCTTTGACAAGAAAGAGGCCAAACGCAAACTAATTCCACTTGAGAGGGAAACTCAGAAATGCCTACAGCAGGTGAACAGTTTCTCTCATAAAATCTTCCCACTGGGTATACTTCAAGCTTTCAGCAATTCCAGTTTCCAAATAAACCGGTAGCACACCTATAAAGCTAATTTTTACATTAGAATTGTTAAGTAACAGTTCAATAAATCATTTGCCTTCTAAGAAAAAAAAATGATTTTTTTTTAAAAGATTTTATTTATTTATTTGACAGAGAGATAGAGAGAGAGAACAAGTAGGCAGAGAGGCAGGCAGAGGGAGAGGGAGAAACAGGCTCCCCGCCGAGCAGGGAGCTCGATCCCAGCACCCTGGGACCACGACCTGAGCCGAAGGCAGCTGCCCAACCAACCGAGCCACCCAGGTGCCCAAAAAATGACTTTCTAATAAATAATATTTCTTCTGGTTCTAAGAAAATAAAGCTTATTTACAAACTGAAAGGTGTGTAATACGATAGTGAAGTCTTTTTATGGCTCAAGAATGAAATATTTAAGAAATAGAGGTGCAGAAAGAACAGGACTTGGTCTAAAAAGTCTTAAGATCAAGTACTTGTGTTACCATTTACTATATGGCTTCCAGGAAGTTACTTAACTTCTCAGGGATGCAGTTTCTTGTAAGATTCTTTTCAACCCAAAAATGATATGATTACTTATGATATCTGATACCCCTCAGTGCCCCCTTTCTATGTATATGTGCACACATGTACATACCTATACATATGTACCTTTATTAAATAATACAGATATATTTTCAAAGTTGTAGTAATTTAAGGGCCATTATGAAACAAAGGGAGAGAGAGAGAGGGAGAATGTGTGTGTATGTTGGGTATTCTGACCCTGAACATCATTCTCAGTAGTTAGGGCATTTACACAGCCTGAATTAACCAAGTAAGCCTTTAAACCCTTACAATGAAACATTAAAATTCAATGTGGCTATAATCTCTTCCTTACAAAACATGGACCCAAAGAGTCTGGCTTCAAGTATGGTTTAAAAAAAAAAAAAGGCGAAGTGTATTATATTCACCACCCAGCTCTTCCATATGACCACATTAAAAAAACACAAATGAAAACTCACAGGCCCATTGTAATACATTGTACCACTTCTGAATGCAACACTTAGCTCAGGCTTACTACCCTGACAAATAAAGGAAAGCACTTTATGAAGCCAATTTAATTGGGAGGTGACAGAAAACATACAGCCATTTTCTTTAGCCTTATCATTGAATTGGCTTCAGCTCCAATCTCGGGCAAATCCCACTCAACAGAAGAAATTAACCAGGTCAGCAGAACAGGTGCTGTGCTCTGTCTGTCAAGGGCCTGGCATCACCACAATTACTTGCACACAATGAAGCAGTAATCTTTACAGATCATCTCTCCCAAGAAGTATATTGGGGTGGGAGAGGAAAACTGAAGGGAGGCAGGGGGAAAGTGGGAAGAAGAAGAGGCAAAGAGAAAAGGCAAGAAAAGAAAATGAATGTGCAGCTGCCTTGCGGCTCAGCAGATGTCGGGATGTGATGTACGAGGCTCGGATAAGCTGTCGTAGCCCGCTGCCAAAAAGCGGTAAGTGATTAAAGCCTGCACAGTTCTAAGCACCATATTTAGAATCTGCGGGGTTTCAAGACTTGCACCCATTCCTTGCTGTGCTGCCAGATGTTAGCAACTGGTCCAGTTCCTACTGACTGTGCATGGATGGCAGCAGTTGGTACAGCAGCAAGGCAATCTGGAATGCTTCCGGAGATGCTGTACATTAACAAGTGTCACCCATCATTCACCTTTACAGAAGGCTGAAACAACTCCAATTTGCTGCCACTTCCCTCTTGGGAAACAGCCAAGATAAAGTTGCGCCTGGCAGCCCCATTTGTTTCACTCAGGTGTTTCAGCTGCCTTGCTGACCTCTATTAGTTTAAGTTTTAATTTAGATTAACCCCAGCACCCCAATTAACCAGCAAGGGGAAAAGCTAAGATGTGACTAGTCATAACTCTGAAATCAGAATTATTATTATTAATTGGGATGAAGGGCCAATCAAGTAATGCTATTTCTTTTTAAACAGACCGCCAGGCAAAAAAAAAAAAGATAAAAAAATAAATCTTTCAGACTAAGATTGCCAGTGGAAGCAACTTCTCAGTAATTTCAGTTTATTTTATTAAGCCTATTTAATTTATGATGCACTTTCCATCAAACAATGTACACTTCAATTAATGAATACTGGAGCATTTCTGATTGTCTCCCATGATCTCACACAATTATACAGCATTAATATCCCATATCAGGTACTTCCTTAGACACTCTAGAACAAAACAGAGTTCCCTACTCTTCTGACAAATGGATATAATAAGAGAAGAAAAGGAAAAAAGAATCAGGGCCTCTGACTAGGAACACCTGAGGACACACCAATCCTCTTTCCTATACCCTCTCATCATTACTTTTAAGGTTCACTTATGGCAATAATTTCATTGAACATTCCAGAGTGAACAGAGAGATTATTATTTCTCTTCTTAGGGCAAAGACTCAGAGCTATCCCCTTTACATAATCACCTGTTCTACTGGCCTCGTAGTGTAATTGTCCCACGTTCCTTCCTTCATATTCCAAATACATAATATAGTCATCATGGCTAAACCTTCAAGAAGCAGTTGCAAATTCCTTGGCAAAAGTTAGCACGCTAAAAATTCAGCAGAGAAAAAAAAGAATATATCGATAAATAACGGCTCAACAAAAGCTGGTGTATCACTGTTGAACAGCATCCTTGATTCTCCAGAGCTAGAAAGGGGACATCCTAAAGCACATTTCATTAAGTATGACTTATCAGGAGACCCAGGATTACAGGAAATTATTTTAGTTCTTTAGAACAGCCCAAATGTTTAGTCTCCCTCTACAGTCACTAGCATCATGAAAAAGAGCAGCATGCCAGCAGATAATAATGTCAGCGAAAGAACTGGGGGACATTTGGGAGAGATTTCAAGAACTGGGCCATATTTCAACTTCTACCAATTCTGTCCGTCTTCAAAACACTACATTATTATTATTATTTTTTTTTTATTTATTTGACAGAGAGAGAGAGAGAGCACAAGTAGGCAGAGAGGCAGGCAGAGGGAGAGGGAGAAGCAGACTCCATCGAGCAGGGAGCCTGACATGGGGCTCGATCCCAGGACCCTGGGATCATGACCTGAGCCGAAGGCAGCCGCTTAACCGACTGAGCCACCCAGGTGCCCCAACACTACATTATTATTATAATCAACAGTAGCAGACAATCTCGATATATACTTAACTGATTTGAAGAGACATGCATGTGCGCGCGCACACTCCCCCCCCACAAAGACGAGACACTTAATGGGCAAAAGAACCAGAAGTGCAATTCAAGGACTCTGGGATCCCGGCCCTTTAGCTCCATATCCCAATCTAATAGCAGTAGGACAAGAAACCAAATAACTAACAAATGTCCTCTATTAACATTAGCAAAAATGGCTGAGAAAGAATAAACCACCTGACTCAAAGAAGTTGCAGCTGTTTTACAGATACTTTACACTCTGCAGCAATAACAAAGTAGTTGTAGTCATTTTCATTTCAAAAGGGAAAATACAACATAGAAGCAGAACAACAGGGGCACCTGGCTGGCTCAGTTGGTAGAGCATGAGACTCTCGACCTCCAGGTTGTGAATTTGAGCTCCACACAGGGTGTAGAGATTACTTTAAAAAATTAACTCTTAAAAACAACAACAACAACAAAAACAGACTCAGAACTACATAGTAAGTCAATTCTATAGACAGCAGTTTTAACTCCCTGACTCTATCCTCCTTACAAAGTAAGCTACCTTTTGGTCAGAGAATTCTATGAGGTGTTTTAAAATGCTAAAACCTGATCTGTAACAAAAGAAAAGAGTGTAAAAATCACACCTGGTGGTAAAAGTCATCATCATCAAAGATTTCACCATCCAAGTCCTTCAGGTGGGCATTGGCAGGGGCTTGAGGAAGGATCTCCTATATCAAGGAGAAAAAAGGAAGGAGTGAATCCAAAAGGGTTATCGAAGTAATGTAGCTACTATAAATAATGTGTGTAATAGTCAAAGCAGTTTTCCTTAAGATATAAAGAGCTCTTAAAATTAAACAACAAAAACATTCCAATAAAAAAGTGGACAAAGACATTAATTAGGCATGTGACATGAAAAGAACCACAAATCGTCAATAATCATATAAAAATGTTTAACCTCATTCTAAATAAATACATGAAAATTAAAATGAGAAGACACGGTGTCCATCTTTCAGCTCTAAAACTGGCAACATTAAGTGCCAGAAACAGAGCTGGTGGAAATGGAAATTAATGCAACCTTTTGGGAGGCAGTCAGTAACATCTATCAGGATTTAAAATGTGTATTCTCTTTGATGTGACATTTCCACTTTGAGAAATATGTTCACACAAATACACGTATTATAAATGCTCATGAATGTTTCCTATAGCACTGTGTCTAAAGCTGGAGACAACATAAATATCCACTGTTTGAATAAATTATAGTACACACCCACACAATGGGATACCCCGTAGCCTAATATTAGGAAAAATGAGATAAACGTCTATGTAATGATTTGGAAAAGTGCCTAGGAAAAATTAAATTTAAAAAATTATAAGATTTTATATAGAGTGTATAACATTTTATGTAAACACATATATCCATCCCATTTAGTTAAAAAAAATAGAACCATGTTTTTATATACGTACATATAGTTATATGAATAGAAAATGCCTTGTTATAATTATGAACACTGGTTCAATCGGAGAAGCAAAATTTTACTTTTCATTTTATTTATTTTTTTAAAGATTTTATTTATTTATTTGAGAGAGAGAATGAGATAGAGCATGAGAAGGGGGAGGGTCAGAGGGAGAAGCAGACTCCCCACTGAGCAGGGAGCCCGATGCAGGACTCGATCCCGGGACTCCGGGATCATGACCTGAGCCGAAGGCAGTCGCTTAACCAACTGAGTCACCCAGGCACCCTACTTTTCATTTTAAATTCTTCTGAACTTTGAAAAAAATTATTAAGTATATATTTCTATAAGTAAAAGCTTCCTTTAAACAAAAGAATGTGTTCCAATTATGGATCCTTTTCTATAGTATCTAAACGTCAGACATAAAGCCAAAGGACACACTTCTTTCAGTACTGACATTTCTAGAGAAGCAGCTTTAAAATTGAATTTTTAAAAATTGGATTACAAATGCTTCCATTACCAAACTCATGTCAAACTCAAAAATAAGAGAAGACTACACACAAGTTAATAATAGCTCCATTTTAACAGAACTTTCTCCTCCCATAAACTCTGTTTCTAGTAAATTTACAATCTAGTAAAGTAGTGCTTTTTTCCCTTTCTTTCACTAACTTCTTATACCAAGAGTAATACCTACAAGCAGGTGATCAGATTTTTCAGCTAATTAGCCTCACAGAAACTGCTCCCTGTAATCACCCAGCATCCCAGAGCTCTTACCGGTTGTCCTGGCAAACTCTCTGGGAGAGGGTGCGTTGCCGGTTCAGGTTTGCCAAGAACTCGGTAGACAGAGCGCTTGGTCTGTGTCCTTCGAAGTAATCTTTCTTTGTCCATCAGAATATGATCGATCTGAGTCAAGATGGAGCGTTCAAAGGCACCAAAACCCTGCAACAACATTTACCAGTGTCAGATAATACAGAAAGTCTGTGCTGAAGGCAGCTACATTGGTTTCTCTATCTTTCTGTGTCAGCAGAGAAACAGACAATCCTCCTTTCAGAGGGACTTCGTGCTACAGACTGAGTTTGTGAATGGCTGTAATTGTTCTCAGGGGGAAAAAAAAAAAAATTAGTCTAAGGCAGGTCTATTACTTTCCTATACCCAGAGATTAACTTCCACACCTTTCGTAACTGTTGAAAAATCCATTTCTTTCAGTATTTTGTATTCCCAAACATTTGAACACTTACAAGCCCACAATTTCTAGAACAAAATATTCTTTTTTTTAAGACGTTATTTATTTATTTGAGAGAGAGGGGGCACGTGTGAGAGAGCACTCGAGCAAGGGGGGAGAAAATCCCAAGCAGACTCCATGCTGAGTATGGAGCCTGACACAGGGCTCGATCTCATGACCCTGAGATCATGACCTGAGCTGAAATCAAGTGTCGGAGGCTTAACCAACTGACTCACCCAGGGGCCCCCAAAATATTCTTTCTAATAAAATTAAAATCCCAGGTCTGAATGGCAGGAGCTCAGTAAATTTTTCTGTGGAAATGATGGATTACTATTACATCATGACATTATCCATATCAATGAGATGTAGTTCCAATTTCTTTTTTTTTTTTTTAAGATTTTATTTATTTTTTTGACAGAGAGAGACACAGCGAGAGAGGGAACACAAGCAGGGGGAGTGGGAGAGGGAGAAGCAGACCCCCCACTGAGCAGGGAGCCCGATGCGGGGCTCAATCCCAGAACCCTGGGATCGTGACCTGAGCTGAAGGCAGGTGCTTAACTGAGTGAGCCACCCAGACGCCCCTGTAGTTCCAATTTCTTTTTAGGTTGCCCCAAACTCTGTTACACACACGCACACACACACATACACACACACACTTGCCTTCCCCAGTTTTCCAGAAGCCAGCTTGGTTTTATCATGCCACTGCTGAAGTGTGCGGTTCCTGTAGACTGTAAAGTCAGAGAAACGCTTTGCCATGAAGCTGGGATAGTCCTCCATTTCCAGCTTCCTCTTTGCTGGGGCCCTTCTCTGCTGCTTCTTCTCTTCTACTAGCTCTTCATCTTCACTGGAAATCTCCTCACTAAAAAGCCAGTAAGAACATTCAGCTCAATGGGCACAAACACTACCCAAGTAAAAAGCTAGGCTCACATGAAGTCGAGAGTATTTAGGCCTTCCCTAGTCTGTCTACATTTTAAAAAATACCATAGATGTGAGGGTGGCTTTTTTTGTTTGAAAAGAATGTTCGTGAGGTCAATCAAAAACTCTTTTAACTTTTCAAATAAATATAAAAACTACTAGCTTAGAGATATTTTTTTAAAAGGTAAGCAAACCGTAAAAATAAATGAGGTTGTAAAACATTATTAGAAATGCATATGAACCAGGCCTATACTGTTACAAGATGGTCTTTAAAAATTAAACACATAATCATACTTTTATGACTTTAATCCCCAAATCAATAAGGGAAATGTGCCTCCCTGTAACCAATTGTTCAGGAAAGCCGAATAATATTAGTTGAATCAAAGGAAGAGAGCTGAATGTGAAGAAAACTCAAAGCGGTGGGCAACAGAATGGGAACTAAATTGCAATAAAGGCAACTGCTCAGAGAAAGTAATACAGCCTCTCTCAAGCCACGTATACTCCCTGGACTACCGACCCCAACACATTGTAGGTGCTCAATAAATTTGAGCTTACTTGTTGTCCCTCTAACTAATTCAGTAAAAAAGAATGGAGCAAAGGATAAGCCCAAAGGAAAAAAATGCAAGCAGGTACCATATACAGCAGGTTCAAACAACGGGTGGGGGGCGGGGGAGCTGTGGAAATCCTTCATCAAATGTGACAACTTCAGAAAAAGTAAACAGTTTGTTTATTCCATGCTTTTCTGAAAATTTTCCACCCTTCAAAGTAACTCCTTTCCTCACTGAAAAGGAGATGGCTGTGACCAGCAACTCCATGGTATTGGCACAAAGTGCTTCACAAACATTAATTAAGAATTAAAATTAAGGGACGCCTGGGTGGCTCAGTCAGTTAAGCGGCTGCCTTTGGCTCAGGGCATGACCCCAGGGTCCTGGGATAGAGCCTCGCATCGGGCTCTTTGCTCAGCAGAAAGCCTACTTCTCCCTCTGCCTGCCATTCCCCAATGCTTGTGCTCTCTCTCTCTCCTTCCCCCACCAACAAATAAATAAATAAAATCTTAAAAAAAAAAAAAAGAAGGAAAGAAGAAAAAGAAAGAAAGAAAGAAAGAAAAAGAAGAAAAAAATAAAGGGGCTCCTGGGTGGCTCAGCTGGTTAAGCATCTGCTTTCAGCTCAGGTAATGATCCCACGGTCCTGGGATCGGGTCCCTGCATCGGGCCTCTTACTCAGCAGGGAGCCTGCTTCTCCCTCTCCCTCTGCCTGCTTGTGCTGCTGTGCTCTCTGTCAAATAAATAAAATCTTAAAAAAAACAAAAGAATTAAAATTAAGGGGCGCCTGGGTGGCTCAGTCGGTTGTGTTTGCTTTCGACTCAGGTCATGATCTCAGGGTCCTGGGATCAAGTCCCACATCTGGCTGCCTGCTCAAAGGGGAGTTTGCTTCTCCCTCTCCCTCTGCCCAACCCCCATGCGCTCACTCTCTTAACAAAATCTTAAAAAAAAAAAAAACGATTTAAAATGACAAAATGTGCTTTCATCTCCTAATTTCTTTTTTAAAGATTTATTTATTTATTTATTTGAGGTGGGGAGGGGAAGAGGAGAGAGAGTTTCAAGCCAACTCCACGCTGAATGCAAAGCCTGACACAGGGCTCGATCTCACCACCCTGAGATCACAACCTGAGCCAAAGCCAGGAGTCGGGACACTCAACCGACTGCGCCACCCAGGCACCCCTCATCTCCTAATTTCAATAGGTCTAAAGAAAAGGCAAGCCTTTTACGGAAGCCCACAAAGAAAAGCAGGCACAAGTAAATATAAAAATGGAAAACCTAATTCCCAATTTATGTGCCATCCTGGCCACCAGTTAAATGTAGAAGGTCTTTCTGTTTACTGAGTCTGCAGAAGATTTGGCTTTCTTTTTCAAAAAATGATGGGAAACTACTCAGATTAAAATAAGCAACCCCACAGCTCCATTCCTTCCTTACCTTTCTGCTCTGGGCTTTGTCCCATCTACTAAATATCTAGTGTCTGGGTACTGGAAAAGTAACTCTTCCTGAAGATCTGCCAATGACCTCAATAATGCTTTAAGGGCCTTGTGACCTGGGAAATAGAGCACAGAGAAGGAACAATCAATTATCTACAATTCCCCAAAGCAGGCAATGCCTGTAACTCATGACTCCTGAGCAGTTCTGGCCGGGGTAGGGGGGCAGGCAAAGGGCAGCTGGGGACTAAGAACTCTCTGAAACACAGAATTCTTGAAAGGAGATAATGCCAGTGCCTACTTCACAGGCTTGTTGTGGGGAACAAGTGAGGTAACACATGTAAGGTGTGTAGGAAAGGGTCTGCAATTTACTGTGAGTTCTCAAATTTAGTAAGATTGACAAACTCCTTCCCTGCCTGTCATAACCAATCGTTTTTCCCTATGGTGCCAGTTTGTACAGGTAACCCAGCGACCTCCTGGATTACCCCTCTATCAATCAACTCCTTAAGCAATTCCTCCTCTTCTCAAGAGCACAACTTTGTCCTGGGCTCCCTACCGCCACCACCGCTGCCGCCCTCCCTCAGGAGATCGCATTTGCCTCTGGTTTGAGCTGCCACCTCATACACACAATCTCCCCGCACACATGCCCATGAAAAGTTCTTGTTCACGTATGAAAACCCAAGTTAATGACTTACTATTTGCAGTACTGTATTGTGTATTAAAATTCTGCGCATCGAGAACATGTTCTTACCTGGTTCTCCACATAGCCGACAGGATGCATTTGTAACAAAGCTAGTCAGGATGAAGTATACAGTCTACGGCTAAGAACTTTCCGGTTAAAAACTGGCCCTCTGAGGGGCGCCTGGGTGGCTCAGATGGTTAAGCGTCTGCCTTCGGCTCAGGTCATGATCCCAGGGTCCTGGGATCGCGTCCCACATCGGGCTCCCTGCTAGGCGGGGAGCCTGCTTCTCTCCCTCTGCCTCTGCCTCTCTCTCTCTCTCTGACTTTCATGAATAAATAAATTAAAAAAAAAAAAAAAACTGGCCCTCTGAGAACTGAACTCTTACCTTCTTTATCAGCCTAATCCTGTTAAAGGGGCTAACTAGACACTGATAATCACTATTTATGCGTTGGTAGCTCAGACATTTCTCCTATTATCGAGCTTCCACATTTCCAGTAACTGCAAGAAAATCTTCGCATGGATGCTCCATCACTCCTCCAAATATACCATGTCAGAAACAGAACTTTGTTCTTCCTACCTAATATTTCTCCCTTGTCTGATTTTCTCTGTTTAATGTGTTTTCTTAGGCGATCACTGACATTTTGGTGCCCTTATTCTATATATTTAATCCATTGCTAAATTGTGTGATTTTTCCATTCTTATTATCAGTAATAGCTGTCCATTCATCCCTGGCCATGCTTCTCTCACACCTTCCCTCTTTCCCTTAAATAAATGTAACCTCACAAGCACCCCTACTTTCATTTAGCAATCCCTACATTCGTTGTTACTTTATATTCCATAGGGACTTTAGCTCACACAAACTTCAGTTAGCATTAACCATGGTTTTTAGTGCCTTTTCTAGAAAAGGTTATATCTTAAGAGACAGAGCCCATGTTTTCCAAAGTGAAACCACAAACCAATTTTGCATTTGCAAAGTAGTTTTCAAAATTCCCAAGACCTAACCTTGAAAATCTTATGCTAAGTGAAATAAGCCAGTTGCAAAAGCCCAAGTACTGTGTGATTCCACTTACACGAGGGGCCTAGAACAGTCAAATTCACAGAAGCAGAAAGCAGAACAGTGGCGGTCGGGGGTCCAGGGAGAAGGGAATGGACACCTATTCCTGTTCAACGGATACAGAGTTTCAGATTGAGATGATGAAAAAGTTCTGGAGATGGATGATGGGGATGTTGGGACAGCCATGTGAATGTACTTAACTGATACTGATCTATAAATGGTTAAGCTGGTAAATTTTATGTCATGTATATTTTAACACAATTGAAAAAAAAACTCTTTAAATGTTCCCAAAGTAGGGCATAATGAATAATTCTACCATCCCAGTTCATCTCTGTACAGGAAAAAGTCATCTATAGCCCTTCAATCTTGAGCCTAGTCAAAAGAACAGGAAAAAAAAACAATGGAATATTATTCAGCCTTTAAAAAGAAAGAAATTCTGACTCAGGCTACAACACATGGATGAACCTTGGGGACATTATGCTGAGTGCAATAAGCTAGCCATAAAAAGGTACTATATCATTCCACTTATAGGAGGTACCTAGAGTAGTCAAATTCATAGAGACAGAAAGTAGGATGGGGGTTACCAGGGCTTGGGGGAGAGGGGAATGGAGACTTGTTTAACAGCTATGGAGTTCTAGACTTACAAGACGGAAAAGTTCTGGAGATTGGTAACACAACAGTGTGAATATACTTAACACTACGGAACTGTACACTTAGAAATGGTTAGGGCAAATTTTTGAATTCCTATATGGTACACCTGACACTAATATAACACTGTATGTTAACTATACAGGAATGAAATTTTATCTTAGGTAAATTTTAAGTTATGTGTTTTTCTCACAATAAAAAATTTAAAAGAACAAGAAAAGCAGGTGCCTGTCCCTTACTTCCTATAGGTACCATGTGTCCATGATGTAAAATAGGAAATCAGGAACCATGCAGGGGGGAAGCTGCAGAGCAGTCTGTAATGTTCATACATAGCTGCTTGCCCCCAGCAAGCAAGTCGTAATGTGACTCTCACATGTAGCATAACCAAGAACTGTGAAAACATCCAACGAAAAGACTACTACTTTTAAGGGCCACTTTCAAGTAGCTATACAAGCCTTTTTATTTTGTTCAAGTCAGTTTAAAAAAATCCATTGCAGATACATTAGACAGCATATCAATCCAACAAGAAAGCAGAGAGCCAATATCAGTAAATCAAAGTGTGCCTTTCTGTTAATACTCTCTCATATGTTCTCATTTTATACACCCCTTCACCCAGTCAGAAAGTAGCCCTGAAGTATTTAAGCTCCATTCAGGGATAGCACCACCATGCATCAAAGTGTCAAGAGACCTACCAGAGATGAAATCTGCAATTCTGTGCTTCTAACCACAATAAAAAAAAAAAAGAAGAACAAGAAGAAATAAAGAAAAAGAAAAAAAGTGTTTATCAAAGTAAAGTCACCAGTGACCAACACATGGACAGTTTTCTGTAAAGAGATATAGAAGAAAGAACCCAATTCTCATTTCTTTGCAATATTAGGGCCACACTTCCTTCCACTAAGATTTTATGTAAAATCTGAAGAGACCAGACAATCCTTTGCTGGGATACAACAGGCCACATCTGATAAGAGTGAGGAAAGACTCTCCTGGAGACTCAAATCCAACAGTGGATTCTTCCCAGCCAAAATACAAAACCAAACCAAAGCCAGCCTTCTTTTTATCACTCATATAGGACCAAATTCTATTTGTTCAACCTTATGAAAAATGAAGAGAATGGAACCAATGGTTTCTAATTCACCTTTTATATTTCTCCTAATTACTGTCAGAGTTACAAAAGTTAAAAAAAGCAGCAGAGAGGCATATACTTTCTTCTCTCTCCGTCTTGGCACGTGGCCACAAAACAAATGGAGACTGTCAAGGATATATATGTTTATTTTGTCCTACATGGTCCATTTCCAAGGCCTTTCCCTTAAGAGGAGATTAAGAAGGACATAGGCCTCACTGTATTATCAAGATACAACCTCAGCATCTGGGCACCAGCTTTAGGAATAATCTTCCAACTAGACAATCAATGGAAAGAGGGCTTTACTAAGGGTCAGAAGCCCTGTATTCTGACACTACTACGAACTAGTCATTTTATACTGAGCAGACCAATTTAATCTTTGAGTCGCAATTTTCTCATCTGTAAAATGTAGATAATCCTGTGCCTGTGTATCCCACAGAATTTAGGTGAAAAATAATAAATGTGTTTTTTATATATCAAGACATTTCATAAATTTTTAAATGCTGTGGATATAGAAAGTTTATCATGATCAAAAAAATCATCATCTTTCACGTGGTGAAAATCCCAAGTTCTGCTTGCACTGATCGACAGTGCTAGGACTGAACTAGTATTCATAGATTCCTGTATTAAGTATTCATTTACACGCTACCCATATGCAAGCATTCTATATATAAAATGTCACCAATCTAAAAACCATTTTCACCTAACAGCTTTATTTTTCTCCCTGATTCATCTTGGCTGTTCAACATAAACAAAATTGTAGGCAGAGAATAAGTCTGGACATAGGCACAGTTCATTAATTAGATTATAAACCAATAAGTACAACTTCTGGCAAGGGGATTGGAGGGGGAATGCAGACAGTGAATTTATAACTAAAATAAAGCTTACCTTATCAGTTTTTAAATATCTGTACAGTTATTTTTAAAATAAACATGAAAACATACATAATTTATGTACAAGTATACATAAATTCCCACATTCCTATTACGCTAGATAAATACTAGACTAGAATGTATGGATCACAAGAGCATTTTTTTCTCCTTCAAAAGTAACTCTAGAACCAGAGCTAAACTATAGGTCAAAATGACACACGATATATTGGCCTGAGAACAATACTTTTCATTCAAACCCACACAAGCCTGCCACTTGCACTAGTCATCCCCAGCAATTAATCCCCCAAGAAAGACGTTTGATTAAATCTTTTCAAGCAAATCCTTTGCTTTGCTTTTGTTAGTTCACTTCTTGTCAACATCTATTAAAATATGCCTTTAATTCTCCCACAATCTTAAAAAACACCGATTCCACTGTCTTCAACTTTAATCAACTGTATGGCCGGCATTTTTCATTTCATAATAATGTGCTGCTTGGAATTCAAGAGGCAGGCTCAGCATCAATCATCTGGTAAGAATTTTTCCACTGCAATAAATATGCAAATGAGGAGAGCCAGTCAGTCGTATTTCAGGCCCGACTTGCTAGTGTTTTAAAAAAGACACAAATTTATTAATTGCCGGTGGCCAGAGGAATCCTATTACTTTGGGCATTGATTACAAAGCTGTGTGAGTGATTATTGTGCAACTCGCGGGCTACCCAGGCATGAGGAAAAATTATTAAAGCA